GTAAAACTTAATTATGTAAAAACTGAAAGGCTTACTACCAGGCTTCCTTGGATATTTCTAAACTCTAAAGGCTAACATACCCGAAGAAGAACTGTAAGCATAAATAATCTATATCAGTCTATACTCCTACAAAATGTCGCAAGGGTGTAAAACTTAATTATGTAAAAACTGAAAGGCTTACTACCAGGTCAAACATTGACAATAAGTTATGTCAAATAACAAATCTATCTTTTGATGGATTTATTATTCACATTAGGTTTTCTTGACAATTGGCACATGTTTATCACCACAAAATGTGTGTGTAATTTTGCCAAGTCTTAATCATGTCTTTGGACCGATAAATACCCGCATGAGATACACAGACATGAACTTCAAAACATTCCATATAAAACAATCTAGACAAGAGAGATCACTTTTGTGACATCTTTTTTGAATTGACTTATATTGAGAGTGTTGGAAAATTAAATTTCTGTAGACGTTGTATGAAATTACATTAAATTTAAAGATTTCTAAATTTGTGACCCCGTATATGTTATATAATCTGCAGCAAATCCAATTATATATATACATATATAAATAGAATTGACGGGTCCAAAAAAACTGCCCATCAAATCATTTTACAATTCCAGAAAACAGATTGCCATTTTCACAGAACAAAACAGGAAAAAACAGAATTTACATCCATAAGAAAATTCAGAATCTGATTCCAGGAAACTAAATAGAATGAATAAAGCATATCAATTCTGATAAGACACATGATATGCTGGCTCTGATACCAATTGTTAACATAAATTTCAGAACATAAACCTTACACTTTGGATCATTTACCATGTGTATTATCAAGAAATCAAGACAAAATGACATACCTGAATCCATTGATAAACGGTTAAACGGAAGCGTGATTATCAATGAACTCTTTGTTATTGATTATGTTATTGCCTTCTAATCCTTTCTCCTTTAGTGCCTTATGTTTCTCCTTGAGAGGATTTAGAGAAAAAAAAAACTGGCAGTGTTCTTATTTTTTTTCACTTGGGAAGGAATAGGGACCATAACCTTTTAAAGGTTGTAATTGGTTTTCAAAACTGAAAGGTTGTGGAAGTTCAAAAGGAATGAAAACCAACTTTAACCAATATGTTTTAATTTCTATTTCTACCCCTCATAGAAATAGAAATTATACAACTAATATCTACACATTAGGTCCATAACACATATACCCTTAAGCCTATTAACTAAATTGAATCACTTAAATTGTAGGCTTCTTATAAATGATAACACCACATTTAATTATGTGGTCCCATTGAGACATTATCTAACATCGTATGAATGGAATTCTTCTCTACTTTCAATAAAAAAATACTCTTTTTTTTTTTTTTTAACGTGAAATCTTCAATCTCAATGTTATATTGACTTTTTTTATTATATTATATATGATTTACGATTGTAAGGGCGGTTTGAATGGAAACAAGCCAGATCGTTGATGCGATTTCTATATAATTTGTTGATTGAACGTTTTGATTGTACATCTCATTTTGCATAATTGAAGTTGTTCGGAAGTTTACTATCAAATTTTTTATTTTTCTTATTTCTCTTTTTTTACTTCTTTGAGACTCATAAATGTTGAATTTTTTGAAATATCATTTTTTTTTTCAAAAATGATTTATTCAAGAAGTTTGACTCATATTTCATTGGAATTTTTTTATTTTATTTTTTATTTTTTGTGTATATATGTGTGAGGGATGAATGTTATGTACACACACACACATATATATATATATATATATATATATTTTTTTTTTGAATGTCTTCCTATTTCAAGTTGTACATTTTAAATGTAAATTGATAAAAAAAAATGAAATAGTTTTATTATTTTTCTTTGGGCTTGTGTTTGGTTTTTTGCAATGCATTTTTAGGTATGTTCAATGCACGACAAAGGTCTCATGTCTTTCTCTGCAAGAGACGAAGTTTGAGAGAGAATAAATTGAAAGTTCTGCACGTTCAAGAAAAATGTATGAGATAGTTGAAAAAAAAAAAGGGGATTTTTTTTAAAGGTCCCTGGTATTAAGATTTTATAGTATAAAAAATACTTAATATTTTTATAATGTCTAAGGTCCCTCAATATCGATCCAGAGAAAATTTGATCCAAAGAAAATTCGGTACAGAGAATTTCTCTGGACTCCCCAAACCCAGAAAAATTCCCAGACAAATATTTCCAGAGATTCTCTCACCCAGATAATTTCTCTGGACTCCACAACCTAGAGAAAATTCTCAAACAAATATTTTCAAAGAAATTCTCTCAACCCAAAGAATTTCTCTAGACTCCACAATCCAGAGAAAATCCCAGACAAACCTTTTCATATTGTCAGGACTTATTTGAACCCACAGTTGGAAGGTCATGGGAAAAAGATCAAAATAATATTATTTTCCAATGAAATAAACATCTAAAAAGCAACACTTATTATGACTACAAGATCAAAACAACTGATCATGATTATAAACAGCTAATTTCTTCATATATACCAAAAAAACACCAAAAACTACAAAACTAAAAAGGAATAACTTATTAATAACCACTACAAATTTCTCTTGCCCAGCAATATCCCAACAGTAAAACCTTATCTTCCCACAGTTGGTGAAGAAATCCAGTGGATGAACTTCAACACCAATCGTAGCTACAAATCAAAAAATCTCCTCGATCCATATCTCACTACACACATATCTACACTATATATATATATATATATATACACGAATATGCATCTATATATGCTTACATTCATATTTCTTCTCAAACTCTCCCGTAAGATGGCCTTTTGATCTGGGGGTTCCGAAATCGTCCAATCTTTGCTCCATTCGAGACCATCACAGCAGAGACAGAATTAGCGATTGTGACCTCGTGGTTCTCGAGGACTTAGAGGGAGTCCTTGGTCTGAGAGTCGAGAGTTCTGATCTTATTCATCAGAGCCTCGGAAGATAGAAAGAGAGAGAAATGAGATTTAATGTGAGAGAGTCAAATTTTTCTGTGATATATGGATGTGAGGTTGAGGGACCTTAGACATCGTAAAATAATATTGTGGATCTCTTCCATTACTAAAAATGAAAAAGGGACCTTAAACTAATTTTCTCAAAAAAAAAAAAAAGAAAATCTATATTTTTATTTTTTGCAATACACGTCTTTCACTTTGTATATTCACAATATCGCATAAAAATCTCATGTCTCACTCTATCAGAGACAAAACTTGAGAGAGAAGAAATTGAAAGATCTTCATATTCAAGATAAATACATAAGATATTTGAAAAAAATAAGTTACAAAATCTATATTGAAACTTTTATTATTAATATTGTTATTATTATTATTATTATTATTGATGTTAGTTTTATAAGGCGAATATAAAGGGCGAATATAATGTAGTACACACTACAATCTATGTATATAGTGACAATGTGAAAGTAATCGTAAAACATAATTGAACATTATTTCAATTAAATATTCTTTTTATTCTTGCATTGATATGATGTATGACATGCTTCAAGAAAAAAATTATTTGTGCAAATGAATGCCAATACTCTATTTTGTTTGTGCAAGTGAATGCCAAATCATCAAAATTATTGGCCATTAAAATTGTTTTATTTTTTTCAATATATTGACTAATAACTAAATTAATTTCTTTGATTTTTGATATTTGATTTAAAAAATTAAAAACACCAAGTTAATAATTAAATTTGCTTTGGGTGATATGAGAGAAAATCAACTTATTAATTCTATAAAACTGGAAAATCACATAATATTAAATTATATTTTATTTTAACTTTATACAACACTAATTTACAAATAAAATTTATATTTATGAGGAACAATAATATCATTTTTAAATTTTAAATTATTTTTTTTACATTCAATAAAATTTTATCCTATGCATAGCACAGATTTTGTACTAGTTTGGTTATAATCCATTGTGGTTTCTTTCATAATGAATAAAAGTGATTTAATTATGAGATTTTGTGCTATCAACACTACATAAATTAAAGTAGCTAGAGTTGATCAGTAGGTCAAATGTCTTGAGATTTAGACAAATAAATACTCACAATAAAACACACCTGCTGTTTGGAAGGAAGAGCAAGTTCATAGATCAATAGATCAAAAGCATAAATGAGACAAAAAAGACAAATGTTGACATAAAGGATCAATCATAAACATTGTTTTAAATTTTTATACAAATCAAACAACAATGATAAACGATTATCCAATGTTTTAACTTACATGGTCAAACCAAACCAAAACTTACATAACATAGAAAAAAAATTAAAATAATTTTTCAAATTTTAATACAAGCCAACAACCATAAACAATTATCCATTGTTTTAACTCATATAAACAAACCAAAACTTAATTACTTACATCACATAGAAAATAAAATAAATATTGCATCAAATTTTAATACAAGCTAACAACCATAAACAATTATCCATTATTTTGACTTCAGTACTCTCGGGAAGCTTTTGCATAGCATCTTCAACATTCTAACATACAACACAAAGAAAAACAAAACAATGTTTTAAATTATAATATAAGCCAACAATTATAAACAATCATTCATATTACAATAGCAAAAATTAAAGAATGAGAATGATTTGTTATAATTTTTCTCTTACATGGCATGATCAGGTGTATTAATGTTAGTATTTATTTTTCAATAATAGCATGACGACAACTCAACATAAATTATTTATGTAATATATATTTATAGTTTGGGTCTCAAGTTAGTTCAGTTTAGTGAAGTCCTAAATCAAGAGCAGAATTAATCTTATTGGTCTACGGAAAACTAAGGATTGGTTTGGGATGTTCTAAAAAAATATACTTTTTGACTTATTGGTTTATATAGGTTGGGTTTGGGTTGGGTTGGGTTTGATGTGATGTGTTAGAGAGGTGATGTGATTTAAATAAGATGATGCGATTTAAATAGAATAGTGACTTTTTGACTTTTTATATTATTTGGCCAAGTTTGGGAAGTCCCAAATAATCCATCTTTTTATCTTTTTTCCATCACATCACCTCTCTACTTTTCTGTACATCTTTTCGTAAAAAGACAAAAAGTGCACTTATTTAGGTCATCCCAAACAACCCTAAACCAAGCCTAAACCAAAGTAATAAAAAGAACTCAAACCAACCCAACCCCATGGAAGTCGGGTTGGTTTGATTCTCAAGTTTTTTTGAGACTTTGTGCAGGCCCCAGATTTCACTATGTGGGTGGTGTATTAGGGAAATATTTTAGGTGGCCTCATATTATCATGTGATATTATTTATAGGGTACTCCTGACCAAAAAAAAATTTATAAAACAACTCTAGTGGATCATTGCTTGTCACTACTTAATAAAGGTGGGTTAGTATGATCCCACCCATAAAGTTTTTTATTACATCATTAATTCGGAGCATCGCATGAACAATTTCACTTGATATTTGGAGATAGCTGAATAATTATCGAATACATAATTGCACTTGAATATATATATATATATATATGATGCCCAAAACATTAAATGTAAGTCCCCAATTTTCCAATATTGGCTTATGGGCAGTAGTTGAAGTAGAATTTCATACCCTTTAGACTCTAATCAACAAAATGCTAATAGCAAAAACTATTCGATAAAAAGTTTAGCTAATAAATGAAATCAAGAATTTGTTAAATTTACAAACTTCACAGATGGTTCTATTTCAAGAGTTCAATTGCATAGCTGGAGAAGAAATTTTACAAAATAAAAAGAAAGAAAGAATATTTGAGAAACAAAGTTAGATTTGATGATACTTACATCAAGTTCGGAAATAGAGAAATAGAACCTCACTGTCATGCATAGGCATCTCTCATTCAAAAAATTGCTGAAAATTGATAAGCAAAAATACATTAAAAATTAGCAATGCAGAAAATCTTTGCTATCAATCAGACAATTTGGTTGAATTTTTTAAAATCTGTAAAAGTAAAAAAATAAAAAAACAAAAAATAAAAAACGTTTATTGTTTTTCAAATGCTTTTCTATTTTTGAAAAAAAAAAAAAATATTAAAATCTGAAGATATTTTTCAAATGTTTATTTTTATCAAATTAGATTATATTTTTTGAAAAACAGACAAGAGAAAAAAAAATTGAAAACTCAACCAAACAAAATTTTGTTGGATTTTATATTTTTGCATTTATTGTGATATGGGGTACCTGGCAATTTGACTGCTTGTATTGTGGTGGGAATCTCCACGGAGCTTTTCACTCATCATCATCATCATCAACAACGTGGACTCGAGGAATGTGAGCTAAGTGGGACCAATATTTGCCTTTTCCCTTTTCACACCTCTCTGTTATTTTCCGACTTCCGTTGATCGACAATTCCATAAGTGAGGGAGGCAGCCTTTGCACTGGTAAAGATTTGAGGCTAGGGCAACCCCTGATATGAAGATGTTCAAGAGAGGCGAGGTATTGAAACAACTTAGAAGATAGCTTCTCCAGATTTCGGAAATTCACGATGCTGAGACTGATCAGGGAGGTGGGCAGCAACATCCCATCTATTGGAAAGCTGGACCCCGCTACATCAGAGAGGTGGACACTAATTGGGCCTTCAATCCGCAGTGTTGTAAGAGACAAAAAACTGTGCAAACCAATCTTTTTGAAGTGGTTGTTCCAATCTGAAATATTCATCCCCAGATATTCAAGAGAAGTGAGGTAGTTGATGGCCTGCAATACGTGTGGCAGACCTGGTAGGGCCTTCAGTTTTTTGCATCCGGTGATATCCAATTGTGTCAGATTTATTGCAGAGTGGAACCATCCTTCCAGAATGTACTCCAAATTCTCACACCCATTTAAGAACAATTGACTGAGATTCCTGAGATTATTATTATTATTAGGAAGGGCACCTGGCAAGTATTTGAGCCTATCACAAGCTCTAATCCAAACAAACTCAAGAAATGGACAATTAATTTCCATCCCCTCCTCTACTAGCAGTGCCTCCAACTTTTTACACCGATAAATCTGAAGCTCTTTGAGTGTGGGTGGTAGCCCCCCACCTCTGCTCGATATCAAGCATGTGAGGGATGGACAATCTAGAACCCCTAACACTTCAAGATTATTGTCATTAATCTGTGTTATCCACCTGAATAAGGATTGCAGAGCCTCACAATCACGTATCTCGAGTCTTTTCAGTGTGCACGGAAAACCTGTCTCCGGAAAAGAGCCGAGACTTGGACATTTAACGACATACAACTCTCGAAGAAAAGTGAAGGTATGTAGCAGCCGTGGCAATTTCTCCAGCTTTTCACAATTATCTATTCTTAGATGCTCAAGCCTCACTATGCAAGGGAGTCCCTCATGTTGCTGCTGCTGCTGATGTTGCCCTTCCTTTTCTTCATCCTCATCTTCTTCAAACAATGAAACAAGCCGGGGACAGCCTCTAATTAGCAAATGTCGAAATCCAGGGAGACTGTGTTGCACTCTCACCTCATTCCTCCAGAGTGTCTTGAGTTCTTCACACCTTGTAATCTTCAACGCTTCGAGTTCCATCAGCCCATGAGTAACCCATTTCGGTAAGAACTCGAGTTCCTCAATCATCCCAATGCTCAAGGAAGTTATTGAACTCAGATGCTTAGACTTTGCATTTGCTGATATCACTTCATCATTAATCATGCTCCTCATCTCAAGGACCGCTTGAAGGCTAGTTAGAGGCACGTCATTCATAGTCAGGGAGGTGAGTGATGGGAGGACAAGGCTGGAAACTTCAACTAGGAATTGTGGGCACCCTGTAATATCTAGATTATTCAAACAAAGTAGATCACTGGGCAGCATTTTGAGAAGTTTAGGACAATTTTTTATGGAGAGCTCACTAACATGTGTAAACGGTTGAACTTCCTTATCATCTTCGAAAGTATACCAATACTCCCATTCTGGCATATCCTTAAAGCTTAAAGTCTCCAGTAATGGAAAAGGTTTGGCACCGCCCTGCCCATAAAACTCACGACCGACATCCTATAGTGCACTCATTCCTTTAATGTAAAGCTTTTTAAGGGAGGGTAGTTGTCCGAGTGGTGGCAAGAATGCACAATTTTCACAATTGTCTAAACTTAGGTCAGCCATATTGGAGAACAGAGGATCTCCTATCCAAGTTGGAAATCTTATACCAAGGTAGCCTTTGATATGGAGCTCTTTTAAATTCTTGTGAGGTTGTAACATGTCAAGCACTTCGGTTTCATCGCTTACATCCCGTGAATAATCTAAGTTCACACTCCATTCCATTGATAACACATCTAACCCCTTCTTATCATTTAAATTCACATCCCTTGCGTCTAATGGAACCATGACATTCTGTAACCCAAATAGGCAAAGCTTCCCTCGAAGATAAATTAAATTCCCCAACTCACTTAACTGAGGCCTACTGTTTTTGGTAACAATAAAATTGGACAATGTCTGAAGATTAGCCAACTTACCTATTCCCAGTGGCATTTCTTCTAAGGAATGTGCATTTGTAGTATCGAGATGACGTAGGTCAATTAGGTTTCCCAAGTCTGCTGGCAACTTTTTCAGTTTTCTGCATTCTCTTAACATCAATGTTTGTAGATTGTAAAGAGAGCCTAGTGATTCAGGTAATTCTTCAATGGAGGTGTAGGATAGGTTAAGATACCGCAGATGTTTCAAATATCCAACCGAATTTGGAACTTGTGTGATGTCATATCTACTCATATCGAGCACCCTCAAGCGCGGTAGCTTTGGCAATAGATTAAGAGCAACATTGCTTGCCAAATAACAATTTAGACCATTTGATGGGTCACCGTGTCAGGATCAATGTCTCTCATGCACTGCGTCGTGGTGTGAAAATTTCCCTACCTGGATGTAATGTTGTATGGGTGTCGTTCACATATGAACGATTACCAAACTTTTGTTATTTTTGTGGTAAGATTGGTCATGGTGACAAGGAGTGTGAATCTAGATTGGTGGCTTTGGTCCCGAGACCACTCCAATATGGGCGTTCTCTTCGCGTTGATATGTCTCGATTAAAGGGTTTCTCTGGTGAGTCTCGTGCTAGAGTTGGTGGTTGTCTTGCTCCAGCGTTTGTGGCCCCTGAGGGTGCACGATTGGCGACTCCATCATGGGTGGTATCACGTATATCTCCATTGCCAAACCTTCCAACGCCGATTGCTTTGGTTCCGTCTGGTCGCGAGGGTGAGATTACGGTTTCGATCCCAACGGATTTTGTGGCGACTATTTCGGCGGATCATGGGGGTGTGGTGCCAAAATCTTCGCTTATTTCAAATTCCCACATACCGCCTGCGCGGGAGTTCCTTCCCTATCAGGATTTGGTGCTTAGTGGGCTGGGCTATTTTTTTAGAATAATATGGTAGTGGATGTAAGTTTCCATAATGCTAATGGCCCTACTATTTCTATACCTAGTGTGGCTCAGTTAGATAGTTGGCTGGTGGAGCCTAGCCTGGGTGGGGTTTTCACTCGGTCAAATGTGTTCAATGAAAATGTGTGCTCTTCATCTGTTCCATTGGCTGACGAAACGGGGTTAGAGCTGGAGGCTAATCCTGCTCGATGTGGTAGCAGGCGATGGAAAAAACAAGCTCATCACTGGGCTTCCGGTTCATTGGATACTCCTCCTCCTGTTGAATGTGTGAAACGAGCGCAGGATTATGAGGGTGCAAGGATTTCTAATGTGGTTGTGGAATCTGGTAAACGGGTTTGCATGTCTTCGACGACTATGACTCTGGTTGCCTCTTCTGACTCAACGATGGTGGGTGTTTTTCAGCCCCGGCGATCGCCATAAGTCTCCTATGCTGGAACTATCGGGGGCTTGGGAACCCTCAAACAGTTCGCTATCTTCAGTTTCTTCTAAAGGTTGAAGGTCCTTATTTGGTTTTTCTTATGGAAACTAAGCTTCAAGTTTGGGATTTGGAAAGGATTCGTGTTAAATTGGGTTTTAGTGGTTGTCTTGCAGTAAACCGTTGCTGTTTATCGGGGAGTTTGGCCCTTTTATGGTCTGCTGATGTTAAGGTTTCAATGAAAAGTGACTCTGTCGGCCATATTGATGCTTTGGTGGTTGAGGGTTTGGGGGTACGGGCATGGCGTTTAACGGGGTTTTACGAACATCCTGAGGTAGTCAAACGCAGGGATTCTTGGGAACTCTTACGCCGACTTCATGCTGGTAGTAATCATCCGTGGTTATGTGCTAGCGATTTTAATGAAATTTTTTTTGATTTGGAAAAGTGCGGCATGGCTGTTTGAAATAGGTCACAGATTGAGGCTTTTCGTTGGGTTTTGAGTGATTGTCACCTCTCTAATATGGGCTTTATTAGAGGGAAGTTTACATGGTGTAATACTCTTGTGAGTTCGGTATCTGACCATTCTCCTATTCTTGTGGATTGTTTTGGATTGCGTCGGGTTAGGCCTCAGCCTGGTCCGAGATGGGGAAGAGTTTGTCGTTTTGAAGCGATGTGGTTACGGGAGGAAGAGTGTGAACAGGTGGTTGCCAATTGTTGGAATGGTGATGTTTCTACCGCCAATGTAGATGGTTTATAGAGGAACATTGTTTGAACCAGTGCAAAATTGAAAGGTTGGAGTCGTAACCAGTTTGCACATCTTCAACATCAGTTAAGGGTATAGACCAAACGTCTCGAATGGTTGCGTTCGCAGCCAGTTGTGTCTGAAGATATGTCCTCAGAAATTTTGCTGTTATGTAAGAACATTGATGAAGTCTTGGAGTGTGAGTCTGTCATGTGGTCTCAATGGTCTAGGGCCAATTGGCTGCGGCACGGGGATCGCAATACTCCTTTTTTTCATGCAACAGCATCGCAGAGACATCAAAAATAACATATTCGAGGTATTAATGATAGTTCTGGGAGGTGGGTTTCTGAACCTTTGGCGATTGAACCAACTGCTTTGGATTATTTTGGTGACCTTTTCAAGACCTCTAGATCAAGTTCTGGAGTGGATTTTCTAGAGGTTGTGCCTTTCATTGTCACTGAGGCCATGAATTCAACCATACTTGCTTCGTTTACGGAGGATGAAGTGAGGGTTGCTTTGTTCCAAATGCATCCCACAAAAGCTCCTGGGCCTAATGGTAAGCCGGCTTTATTTTTTCAAAAATTTTGGCATATCACCAGTAAGACTGTTTGTGGTGCAATTTTGGGATTTCTTAATGGGGGGCAGGATGTTTCTTTGTTGAATGAAACCTTTATTGTGTTAATTCCGAAGGTGAAGGAGCCTAAAACTTTTTCGCAATTTCGGCCTATTAGTTTATGTAATGTGGTCTACAAAATAATTTCAAAGGTACTTGCAAACTGCCTCAAATTGGTGCTTCCCTTAGTGATTTCGGAATCTCAGTGTGCTTTTGTGCCTGGCCGTCTCCTCACTGATAATGTTCTAATTGCTTTTGAAATTTTTCACTGGCTCAAAAATCATCGCAATGGGTCTGATGGTTATATGGCTTTAAAGCTTGATATGAGTAAGGCCTATGACCGTGTAATGGGCTTTTTTGGAGAGTATTTTGGTTCGTTTGGGTTTCGCTCCAGGGTTTGTCGCTTTAATTATGCAGTGTGTGTCCTCTGTCTCATATTCGGTGCTTATTAATGGTGTGCCTTCGCCGCGTTTCTTTCCCTCGCGGGGATTGCGTCAAGGGGACCCCATTTATCCATATTTATTTATCCTTATGCTTCAAGCCCTTTCATGTATGATAAATAATGTTGTTTAGGCGGCAATTGTTATCTGGTGTGAAGTTGAGTCATTCGGGGCCACGGGTGTCCCATCTCTTTTTTGCTGATGATAGTTTGGTTTTCGCAAAGGCGCCTTTTGATGAAGCTCAAGTTTTGATGCGGATTTTGAGTGATTTTGAGAAGGCATCGGGCCAGAAAGTCAATTTGGCTAAGTCATCGGTATTTTTGATGAAGCTTAAGTTTTAATGCGCACTTTGAGTGCTTTTGAGGAGGCATCGGGCCAAAAAGTCAATTTGGCTAAGTCTTCGGTATTTTTTAGCAAGACTGTTAATGACCAATCCAAACAAGCCATTTCTCATCTACTGGGAGTGGAGGCTATGGAAACAAATGGGAAGTATTTGGGTATGCCCACCTTTGTTGGTATATCAAAAAGGGAGGTTTTTGGGTATATCAAGACAAATATTTGGACATGTTTGAATGGTTAGAAAGAAAAGTTTTTGTCGACTGCGGGACGTGATATTTTGATTAAGGCCGTTGCACAAGCTATTCCTGTTTTCATCATGTCCTGTTTCATGCTTCCGGTGGGCCTTTGTCATGAAATTGATTCAATGATTAGTCATTTTTGGTGGGGTCAACGTGAGGAAGAAAGAAAGATCCATTGGCTTAGGTGGAGCAAACTTTGCTTGCCAAGACAGAAGGGAGGTTTGGGGTTTCGTAGTTTGATGGCTTTTAATAGGGCGATGCTTGCAAAACAAGCTTGGCGACTTCTCAAGTATTCTGAATCCTTGGTGGCGTAGTTGCTCAAAACACGGTATTTTCCTACTTCCTCTGTTTTGGATGCTTCATTGGGTTGTAATCCATCTTTAACTTGGAGAAGTATTCATGGTTCGAGATCTCCCTTACAATATGGGTTGCGATATCGAATTGGTGATGGTTGAAGAGCCAAGATTTGGGGAGATCAATGGATTCCACGTCCTTTGTCCTTCCGAATTATTTTTTCGCCTATGGACTTGCTGTTGGACACAATTGTTTCGGTTCTAATTGATAGGGATAGGGGATGCTGGAATGAGGAGATCATCACTTCTATGCTCTCTCCGATTGATGCTTCTACAATTCTTGCCATTCCTCTATGTCGAAATTGGCCCAAGGATACTCTTGTTGGCATTACTCGAAGAATGGGATTTTTTCTGTCAAGTCGGCATATCTCTTGGAGTTGGCTACATCTAATATTGACATGAGTGCTAGTTCTTTAGAGGATGGGATGACTTCTACTGTTTTTTGGAAAATGGTTTGGAAGTTAAAAATTCCGCCAAAAATTCGTGTGTTTGCTTGGAAAGCTTGTGTCCACCAAGAAATGTATCCCTCTTACTGATTGCTGTGAAGTTTGTTGTGAGGGGGTGGAAACTGTGCGCCATTGTTTGTTTCAATGTGAGTTTGTTGAACGGGTTTGGTTGGCTTCGGGCTTAGATCACTTATGGCAACTGGGGAAGACATATGATTGCTTTGCTTGGATTTGGCAAATTTCTTCATCCCATGGATCTGCAGTTTTGGGCCTTGTGCTTTCGCCGTGCTGGGGAATTTGGTTACATCGTAATCAAGTGGTTTTTGCAAAAACCAATAGTTGTGCTAGGGAGGTGGCGTTCATCGTGCTTAATAGTTTTTCGACTTTTATTGATGCTCAGGTTAATCTTCCCCAGATGCCCTCTTCGACATCTTTGTCTGTTTGGTTGCCTCCAGCTGGGGGGGTTTTTAAGCTAAATTTTGATGGCGCAATTGGTAAAGAGCAACATGTATCGGGTCTAGGCGTCATTGTTCGTAATAATTTGGGCCAAGTAATGGCCTCTCTTTCTGAACAGGTAGGGCTAATTTTGGATATAGATTTCGTGGAAGCGGAGGCAACCTTACGCGCTGTTAGGTTTGCTCGCGATCTTGGTCTAGCAAATGTACACCTGGAGGGGGACTCATTGACTGTGGTTAATGCACTGATGGCTGCCAATTGTGCTGATTTTGAGCTCGCTGGTTTTGGTCCCCTTATTGTGGAAGCTCGTCAAGTTTCGTCATCCTTTCATTCCTTTCATGGTAAGCCATGTTCGCCGAACAGGCAATGTGGT